CTCTCCGTTAAAGGTTTCGTATGGAAACGATGGAGCGTCAGCTAGCCGGTCTCTCGTCGCTAGTGCATTCTGCACTGGTCAGTAAAGGAATGAGCGAAACCAGTCAACGTGACATGCAAGAACTTCGAAAGCAAATCCTGGCACTTCATCCTGACGGTGAGCCTTATCTTTTTATAGCTTTTTTTGTATTAGCGTTTATTGCTTATCTTTATGATATCCTTAAAAATTTTTTAAGTTTGTTATTTTGCCCAAATTTTTAAATTTTTCAATTTTGTTATTTTTTTAACTTAGTTGCCTCTTCACCGTTTTCTCTCTTCGACAGTGCTGCAAATGACAACTTCTCCATTCTTCTCTCTTCTGAGTTCCTCTCACCCATATAATTCCATTCAGGCGTTAAAAAGGATCCTTGCATCGCATCGTAGCTTTTCCTGTTTCTTTAAATATCGCGCGAGTATCGCCAAGTAATCTCTGTTTTATCCATTTGTTGTTTTTCATTTTCGCCACATAACCGACTATACTCTACTTCTGCCTCGATAACATCGTTTACACCAGATCGAGGCGGCAGTACTTTACTAGAGTTATTCGGCAACTTATTAATATCTACCAATGTTTTTCAGTGACTCGTTGGTTCGCTGCCATCTTTTGGCAAGCTTATTGTTTTATGGTTCGTTTCCATAGAGCAATTAAAGCACTGAAATTGAAAAGTTGGTTCCCAGTAGATACTACATCAGTGTTGGAAAAGATGTCTCGTAACTTGGTTGTGGCTACCATCCCGCTTTTTTAGTTTTGCTTAGCTCAAAGTTAGATAACTGCTATTCATCACTTTTTTTTGGTGTAAATAGATCTAGCTGTTCACAAGCTCAATGAACTGATTCTCGAATCTCATTTTAAACTGGAGCAGCACTATTTTTTCCTCCACTTTGTTTTTTTTTTCCTTTTTTTTTTAAAAACATGAACTGTGGAATCTACATTCTTTTGCATAGCTTGTAAGCTTTTTAAGAAAAAGACAAAAAAGAGAGAGACCGAGGAAATTTGCAGTAGTTTCGGTAGCATCAGAGAGCAGCATTCCAAATAGCGTGGATCACTCGTTGCCGGATTCAGTGTTTCTGAGCGGTGAAACACAGCAACAGCTTCTCAAGCTGAAACGCCACGTGACGGATACGAAAAATCAGCTCAGACAAATTCGACGGGCTGCACAGGTTAGGAAAGTTCATTGGCGTAACATCAAGAACCACAATCAGCGATTTTAACAAAGGAATACCAGAAAATGCATATCTGATTATATTATATAAGTAACATACATTAAAAAATGCATAAAACGAATTATATGTAAGTAAAACTTTTTCGTTGTCGGGAGAACGAATGTTTCCAACTTTTACAACAGTCCTGATGAATTCGGAAAGCAGTAATTTATGCCATTTGTTCCGGTTGGGCACATCATTTATACAGCGTCGAGATCATACATTTCTATGAATTATATGCCAAGAATGACAAAACTATCCGGACAGTGGGTATCCCATGTTAGTGATGTTACTGGAATCCCTTCAAAATTCGGCCGCAACTTTTCCAGCTGCTTTGATCCTCGGTTGCATACCTCCAATTGGTACCCACTGCCTGCTCGGTGTATGTGCTCCAGTTCTTCGGAAATATGTCCAAATGATCGTTTACTTTCTCGCGGATACCAATTGCTAGTGCACCAACGTTAATGAGGTATCAGAAGGCAAGCATCATTATTTTAATGGGTGCTACAAATTACATATGCTACCAAAATTGTGGTAATCATCCGAATTTTGTTGAAATATCGATGCTATAAAAAGGATCCAATTTGAGCGCCTAGTATTATGGGGCCTTCCGACCTACAGTGCATGCATTGCTACAGGTTTTCCTAAGCTGCATAACTCGGTATCTGCTGCCTTTTACTAAATACCATGCTTTTCTGTTGGCTTCCAATGCGCATAAAAAAAAAAACCACATAAAATGAAAAATTGCAAGATAATCTTAAGAATGTAATTTTGTATTCCTTTTATGCTCACAATTTTCATAAA